AAAACAAATAATATTTGTTTCGAATCAGATTACTTCAAATAAGTTAATATTCCTCAAATAAAGTTTCAGAAAAAAATATATTTTATTTTTGAAAGATTTTTTTTAATCAGCTATTTTAGCAAAAAAAAAAAAAAAAAAACTCATTCCAGTCAATTTAAATTGGTTTTTGAAATGCAGCAAAGTATTTTGCTGGTTGGAAATATTAAATTTAATTTATTAGCTTGTAATTAAAAATAAAATAAAAGCTTCAAGAAAGATATTTAATTTTTAAAAATTCATTTTAAACCTAAGGTATCGCGTTTTTTGTTGAAGTTCCTACTTAATAGTATATATTTCCCCGTATTCTCTAACACTCAGTACCCCACCCCCACCTTGCTGCGTCTTAGTGACTTTATTGCCTTGCTTCGGGTGAAATGATTAAAAAAAATGAATTCTAATTCTCGTAACCGTTAGGTTAGCTTGATAGCTTTTGTTAAGATTTTGGCACGTGTTCGAAAAATATATGGAAGAAAGAAAGTGCTTAGAACTTATCAAGGTAAATAATTTTTTTTTATTATTTTTAATCTCTTTTATTTTATTTTCTTTTTTTTTTTTTTTTGTCTTTTCTTCTGCTAGACATAAAATCTGTCCCGAAGACAACATCTCGGCAAGTCTTTTGAAAGCAAACAGAGAGAACCGCTTCAGCTTTGAGGCTTTGGACATGTTACTGGAATCGTTGCAAGGACAGAGATGCTGCAGTCATTGCATCGTATTGCACAAGATGCGCTTGGGGACACTGATCAAACAAAACTTACAGGAGGCTTGGTAACAAAAACGGGAAAAATGTTCTGGAATAACAAAGAAAACAGTGAAGATTTCAGTGAATATTAAAGTCCAGTTGGACAAGGACGTGACCCATGACTGATGTACTTAGGTATTCATCATATACGCCAGTCATCATCAAACATTAATTCCTTCCACCTTGCTTTTAATTGCTTTTCATAGCCTTACTTAATTCCACCTTACTTTTAAAAGCTTAATTCCACCTTACTTTTAATTGCTTTTCATAGCCTTCTGAATTCCACCTTACTTTTGTCGCGGTCGCTCGATCTTACAAAGCCGACCTTGACCTTCTCGATCTCGCAGATCTAGGTCAAGCAACAGGCCAGAAACCGGACGGCTAGTCCAATATCGTTGATGTCAAACCATACCTAGTACGCATCTGACTATGCTGAGCCATTCTAAACATCGGCAACTATAGACTATAATTTATTATCTACGGCCTTCTACTCCTCTAGCCAGGGAGTACTTGAACAAATCTTTGCAAATATCCTTAGACACTTTTTTTCGCCCAAACTAGGCAGCTCGGCCCGGAGGCCTGGATCAAAGTGTAGTACACTACCTTTGTGAACTTCCGGTGCTTTGTCGAGAGTGTTACTCTTCGGCGCGATCCCGTCTCCACGGTCGATCCGCCCTGGAAGGTGTAACACCTCTCTGACCTACCTCGCCTGGTGATACACTCTGGCGCGATCCCGTTTCCGCGGTTGATCCGCCCTGTGGAGTTGTATCACTGGTCTGCCTTGGCCCTGTTTAGGGACTCCGTCTTCGCCTGGTGATACACTTTGGCGCGATCCCGTTCCCGCGGTCGATCCGCCCCGTGAAGTAGCATCACTGGTCTGCCTTGGCCCTGTTTAGGGACTCCGTCTTCGCCTGGTGATACACTTTGGCGCGATCCCGTTCCGCGGTCGATCCGCCCCGTGAAGTAGCATCACTGGTCTGCCTTGGCCCTGTTTAGGGACTCCGTCTTCGCCTGGTGATACACTTTGGCGCGATCCCGTTCCGCGGTCGATCCGCCCTGTGAAGTAGCATCACTAGTCTGCCTTGGCCCTGTTTAGGGACCCGTCTTCGCATTTCGGCCGAACCAACTACGTTCGCCGACCAACTACCGGGCCAGAAACTCGACCAGACCAGACCTCACCTACCAATCCCTAAACTACCAGGCCAGACCAGACCCGAACCAACTACGTTCGCCTACCAAACCCTAAACTACTAAACTACCAGGCCAGACCAACCCTAAATACCAGGCCGGACCAGCTACATTCGACCGGAACCAACCGAACCACGTACGTTCGCCTACCAAACCTAAACTACCGGGCCAGACCAACTACCGGACCAGACCAGCTACAATCGACCGAACCAGCTACGTTCGTCGATTAACCAGTTTTCGGACCACACCGATGTAAATGTGTGAATAAAAACGACACTTTGTTCATAACAAAAACCTTTGCCTTTGTCCCGTCATTGTCTTGGCTGTTCACATTTATCGTATACTTAAAAAACCTTGCGGGGCGACATCCTACTCGGCCCCGCAACAAGTGGTGACTTCCCGACGTGAGACAGCTAAGCGATGATGGAGTCGGCTAAAAGTGATTCTTTGGACATGACGGCTGCGATCATACCTCTGCCTGCATACCACCATAATGCCAAGAACTGGTTCTTGCAGGTGGAATCCATCTTTTCAATGCTACGCATTACTTCACAGCGAGCCAGATTCGCGAATGTAATGCAGAAACTCCCATCTGATATGATGGACGAAATTTCTGATGTCCTCTCCGATTTGCGCGAGCATGAACCGTACGATCACTTAAAGGAAGCAATCCTCAAGCGAACCGGACGTTCCGAGGAAGATATGATCCAAGAGATACTGCGGAACGTCACTAGAGGCGACAAAACGCCATCCCAGCTTCTCAGATATATGAGGAACCAGCTGGGAAAGCACAACGTATCAGAAAAAGGTTCTTCGAGGTTTATGGCTGGAGCATTTGCCTAAATCTGTTGCACAAATCATCGCACCAATGACGAGAGCCACGCCTCTGGATGATTTGGCAGAATCTGCTGATCTTGTTTTTGCACAGTTCGACCACAGCGTTAACGCTGTTCGCGCCCCCGACATAGCGAAGCACGAACGCTACGAGCCTAGTAAAACGGAACGGGCGTTGGCCGACCTTCAACGGCAAATTCGGGAGCTCCAGATCTCCCTGCGCCCGCGGACGAGGACATCGACCCCATCTCGACGGAGACGAACCCCAGCCGAGAACGGCGAAGCGACCAGGGTGTTTGTTGGTTTCATCGCACATTCGGCGATGAGGCCAGGAATTGTAAACCTCCTGTACACACCCGTCGGCCCGGGGAAACGAATAAACCGGAGAGTCGCGACGACTAACTCTTCCGGTGCCAACACGCAATGTCGTCTATTTTACGTTTGGGATCGACGGAACAAGTTGAAATTCCTGGTGGACACAGGTGCGGCCATCAGCGTGGTACCCCTTCAGAACGACCACACCGCTAAGCCCACCCTGATCAAACTACGAGCAGCGAATGGTTCCGCGATAGACACGTACGGAGAAAGGACCCTTACTTTGAATATCGGCATGCGACGCGATTTCACTTGGACATTTACCGTGGCCAACGTGAAGGTACCCATCCTCGGCGCGGATTTCCTGGCGCATTACGCACTGGCGGTCCATATGAACCCTAGGACTCTGTCCGATACGACGACGAATCTCCGTGTCTTAGGTACCCCTACACGTCAAGGCTCCACAGGAATCAGCGTCGCAACATGCCATGGTCGCGAGTACTTAGATCTCCTGACGCAGTTCACGGATATAACGCTGCCACCCAAGTAACGGCTTCAGGTGACCATCAGACTCAGCACCACATCAGAACCCGAGGTCCTCCCGCACACTCCCATCCGCGACGACTCGCTCCGCACAAACTGGCGTACGCCAGGAGCAATTCGACAAAATGCTCAGTGATGGCATCATTCGTCCTTCCGATAGCCCTTATGCCTCGCCACTACACTTAGTGCCTAAACCTGGTGGTGAAGAATTTCGGATATGCGTCGACTACCGGAAATTGAATGCATCGACCGTACCAGACCGATATCCTGTCCCTCATATCCATGATTTTGCATCCGGATTGATGGGGGCTCGCATCTTCTCGAAAATCGACCTGACAAAGGCATACCACCAGATCCCCGTCGCTGCGGAAGACGTCCCAAAACGGCAGTCACAACACCGTTTGGCCTATACGAATTTCTAAAAATGCCGTTCGGTCTACGTAACGCTGCCCAGACCTTCCAACGACTCATAGACGAAGTCCTGCGCGGACTTCCGCATGTATACGCCTATATCGACGACATCTTGGTGGCCAGTACAGACGCCGATTCTCACAGACAACACCTGCGAGAAGTCTTCCAGCGACTCTCGCACTACGGCCTGAAGTTGAACCTGGACAAGTGCGTTTTCGGGGCGCCCAGCGTTGACTTTCTCGGGCACCGCACCGACGCAGACGGCATAGCACCTCTGCCAGACAAGATCAGCTCGATCCGGGACTTTCCTACACCGACGTCCATGAAGCAATTGCGACGTTTCCTCGGCATGCTCAATTTTTATCGTCGGTTCATACCAAATTGCGCTACCATCCTCCAGCCACTGACGAACCTGCTGCAGAGAAGAAACAAGGACATCTCTTTGGAGGGAGATGCTCTGCACGCATTCCATACAGCGAAGGCTGCATTGGCGAATTATACCAGGCTCTCGCATATCAACGACGATCCAGAGACACGACTATTCCTGACGACCGACGCATCCGACGCTGGTGTGGGCGCGGTGGTTGAGCAAGAGTTCAACTCACAACGCGAACCCATCGCATTCTTTTCAGCCAAGCTTTCGCCAGCCCAGAGAAAATATAGCACCTTCTCCCGAGAGCTGCTGGCCATTTATCTGGCCGTCAGGCATTTCAGGCACTTACTGGAAGGTCGAGATTTTACCATCTATACCGACCATAAACCGTTGACAACCGCGATGAGTAACAACTCTGACAAGTATACAGCTCGCGAGATCCGGCATCTCGACTACCTGTCACAGTTCTCGACCGATATTCGTCACATAAAGGGAAGGACAACGCCGTCGCAGACACATTATCGCGAGCGGAAATTCAATCTCTTCAGACCGGCGTCTTGGGTCAAGATTCCATAGCCGCTGAACAAAAATCCGACCCCACGCTGCAAGACGTCCTTTCGAATACTTCTTTAAAGCTTTCGGGAGTTCCTGCATCCTTCAGCGACGACACCCTGTACTGTGACACCAGCCTAGCAAGCCCTAGGCCCTACATCCCACCGACACTTCGGAGACAGGTATTCCAACATTTCCACGGGCTGTCTCATCCAAGTAAGCGAGCTACGGTCAAACTTATTACCGACCGATTCGTTTGGCCCAATATGAATGCGGACATTCGAGAATGGGTTTCCACGTGCATGGAGTGCCAGAAGTGTAAGGTCCACCGACACACTAAATCCCCGTCGGCACCTTCAGCAGTCCCGATGCACGGTTCTCACACATACATGTCGACTTAGTGGGACCGCTTCCGATGTGTCAGGATTACCAGTATCTTTTGACGGTTGTGGATCGTTTTTCGCGGTGGCCGACCGCCATACCTATAAAAGACACTTCTGCTAACACAGTCTCTAGGACCATCCTGAAAGAGTGGATTGGAACTTTCGGCACGCCCCACGTTATCACGACCGACAGGGGGTCACAGTTCCAGTCGTCCCTTTTTCGGGAGTTTACCAACCTACTTGGCGCCAAGCACATAAAGACTACCGCTTATCATCCGTGCGCCAACGGCTTAGTTGAGAGGTTTCATCGGTCCCTTAAAACCTCCCTGGCCACTAGACCTGACACTATCAATTGGGTGGACGACCTACCTTTAATTCTCCTAGCATTGAGGAACACCGTAAAGGAGGATTTAGGTTGTTCACCCGCCGAACTGGTTTTCGGTACACCTCTTGCGCTACCCGGCGAATACTTCGACGACTCCCTTCAGACGTTTTCAAAACCAACATCTCCTTTCGTCGAGGAACTCCGCCACAAAATGGCCCGGCTTAAATATGCAACTCCACGACAGCAACCGGTGAATTCGTACATCCCTCAACACTTGCGAGATTGCAAATTCGTTTTCGTACGGAACGACGCCGTGAGACGACCACTCACGCCGGCATACCAAGGTCCTTTTCAGGTTCTTCGACGCACCGACAAGCACCTTACGATCAAGCGCGCCAACTCGACCGACACCATCGCAATCGATCGGACCAAGCCTGCTTTTCTGGAGAAGCGACAGTATGACGCAAACCCGGCTCTGCGGCCCCTAATGCTATTCCAGCGCACCCATCAGACGCAGCACCGCAGACATCAAACGACACCCCAGCGACTCCTGTGCGGCAGACCCGATCCGGTAGGAGGGTCACTTTCCCTAAAGACCTTCGTAAATATTATTATTATTAATTGATACGATCAATTTTCTAGGGGAAGGGCCTTGTCGCGGTCGCCGATTATCCGCTCCTTACAAAGCCGACCTTGACCTTCACAACTCTCGATCTCGCAGATCTAGGTCAAGCAACAGGCCAGAAACCGGACGGCTAGTCCAATATCGTTGATGTCAAACCATACCTAGTACGCATCTGACTATGCTGAGCCATTCTAAACATCGGCAACTATAGACTATAATTTATTATCTACGGCCTTCTACTCCTCTAGCCAGGAGTACTTGAACAAATCTTTGCAAATATCCTTAGACACTTTTTTTCGCCCAAACTAGGCAGCTCGGCCCGGAGGCCTGGATCAAAGTGTAGTACACTACCTTTGTGAACTTCCGGTGCTTTTGTCGAGAGTGTTACTCTTCGGCGCGATCCCGTCTCCACGGTCGATCCGCCCTGGAAGGTGTAACACCTCTCTGACCTACCTCGCCTGGTGATACACTCTGGCGCGATCCCGTTTCCGCGGTTGATCCGCCCTGTGGAGTTGTATCACTGGTCTGCCTTGGCCCTGTTTAGGGACTCCGTCTTCGCCTGGTGATACACTTTGGCGCGATCCCGTTCCCGCGGTCGATCCGCCCTGTGAAGTAGCATCACTGGTCTGCCTTGGCCCTGTTTAGGGACTCCGTCTTCGCCTGGTGATACACTTTGGCGCGATCCCGTTCCCGCGGTCGATCCGCCCCGTGAAGTAGCATCACTGGTCTGCCTTGGCCCTGTTTAGGGACTCCGTCTTCGCCTGGTGATACACTTTGGCGCGATCCCGTTCCCGCGGTCGATCCGCCCTGTGAAGTAGCATCACTAGTCTGCCTTGGCCCTGTTTAGGGACTCCGTTCGCCGAACCAACTACGTTCGCCGACCGACCTAAATTTACCGGGCCAGACCAGCTACGTTTTCGACCAGACCAGCCGCTCACCTAACCCTACCAGGCCAGACCAACTACATTCCACCGAACCAACTACGTTCGCCGACCAACCTAAACTACCAGGCCAGACCAACGTTCGCCCTGCAAACCTAAACTACCAGGCCAGACCAACTACATTCGACCGGACCAGCTACATTCTACCGAACCAGCTACGTTCGCCGGGCCAGACCAACTACGTTTCGACCGGACCACGACACCTTTGTTCATAACAAAAACCTTTGCCTTTTCCCGTCACCTTTTACGACATCCTTCGCCTACCTTTTTAAAAGCCCTAAACTACCGGGCCAGACCAACTTTTAATTGCTTTTCATAGGACCAGACCAGCTTACAATCGACCGATTCCACCTTACTTTTTAACCAGCCTTACTTAATTACGTTCTTTTAATTGCTTTTCATAGCCTTACTTAATTCCACCTTACTTTTAATTGCTTTTCATAGCCTTACTTAATTCCACCTTACTTTTAATTGCTTTTCATTGCATCACCGATGTAAATGTGAATCATTTTGAATAAAAAACATTTTAAACACTTTTTGTTCATAACAAAACCTTTGCCTTTGTCCCGTCATTGTCTTGGCTGTTCACATTTATCGTATACTGGCATAAAATGCCGTTTTTTAAACGTTTTTTCGGCCCCTTTATATTCATTAGTTTTTTTTTTTTCATTCTTTAAACCAGTAGAGTTTTTTTTCTTTCTTTCCATTGTTTGTTGAGAGTCGAAATAACGCATTCCGATTGGTCAATAAATCTAAGAAAGCGTTTCCTTTTAGCGAGTTATCCAGATGTTACCGGCTGAATCTTTTGAAGTCCGAAATAGATTTTAGTTCAAAAGAGGCTTCTCTTATTAGTTCTAAATTGTTTATTAGTAGTTACCACCACGGACTTTCTAAAAAAACAAAAAACAAAAACCAAAAATAAAAAACGCATTTTATATAATTTAAATATCTTCTTCGTACTTAAATTTCGGTTCTATTTGACAGATCTCTAATCCGAATTTAAAAAGTAAAATTAATTTCTGTATATAAACTTTTTTTTTAAAAGCTTCGCTCATTTTTTCGTCACTTATCGAGTCAACGACCCGCCAGTGTGTGCGAAAAATAAAAAATGTAAGCAACAAATTTAAAAATCTCTTTAAAATTCAATATTTGTCCCAAAATTTCGAAGTTTGTTAGTAAGGATTAATTACTTAAAGGATTAATTAAATAGATTTTCTAAAAGTAAGGATTACCTTTTAGTTTTAATTAAAACAAAATGAAAATAACGTTTTATTTACATATGCTAGCGGTGTTCCAAAAAGCGCGCGAAAAAGTACAAATAAAAGCTAAAGAAATACGGAAGACCAGCAATGTAATAATCAAGAATTTGTTATTTATGTTTAAAAATACATTTTCTTTAACTTTATAGAACCAATAGTTTAAGAATATAACTTTTTATTCTATACGCTTTTATTAAATTTAGGATAATGAATAAAATAAATGAAAGAAAAATGTAACTTAAATGTAATTTGCGTTAATGTGAAAAGAAAAGCATTTATTTGAAGTGTAAATTTTAGAAAAATTACAGTATAATTATTATTTTTTTTTTTTATCTTTTCTGTTAATTCAACTCCAAATAAAAACAATTTATATTTACTAAAATTCATACGAAATCCTCCCAATCTCCGGCTGGGTTGACCTTTGCGATCGCCCCAAATGGGAAAACAGCGACACGGGAAAAAAACAAAAACAAAAAACAAACCTGTATACCGATGGATCGGGAAAACCGTGCTTTTAAGGTACAAAAATAAGATATGAAATTAGATTAATATCATAATACTTTTCTGGTATTGAATAGTAATCAATCAAAGCGAGATATCATCCTTTTTGTACATCCATATCAAAAATAATTTAACCGTTGCTAAAATGAAAAATAAAATAAAATTCTTTAAAAAGTGTTGCACTCAAAAATGGCCTTAAACTTTACATATTTTGAATCTTCAAACCTGTCTTTATTTTCGAAAAGAAACTCTAGTGACGAACAGTAACGGGATTTATTTCAGAATCGCACTGAAAAATTACAAGTCATTTTTTTTTAAATTAAATAAATATTAAGTGTGAATTTTCTCTGCACAAGCTGAAAGAGAATAACGTGTTTTATTAAATTATGCAAGGTCCAATTCTCAAAAAAAAATTATGCAAGGTCCAATTCACCAAAAAAAAAAAAATTATGCAAGGTCCAATTCTCAAAAAAAAAAAAAAATTATGCAAGGTCCAATTCTCAAAAAAAAAAATTATGCAAGCTCTAATTCTCAAAAAAAAGAATTATGCAAGGTCCAATTCTCAAAAAAAAAAAATTATGCAAGGTCCAATTCTCAAAAAAAAAATTATGCAAGGTCCAATTCTCAAAAAAAAAAAAATTATCTTGCATTTTATTGAATTATCCTTTGATAAAATGAGAGACAAATTTTCTGTATGTTCACACTTGATATTGCATGATTTTTTCTGAAATAATATCTTCAGGGATTCTTCTTTACATAACTTTTTAAAAAATTGGACAACCCTCCACCCCAATTACAAAAAAAAAAAACGCACAGAGAAGCTACGTTATGGTGGTGGGTAAGTGAAACAAGCAGAGATGCCAGGTCATGACCAATAGCACTGCAGATTCTTCTTTGGATTTTATCAAGAAACCCTAAATATATAACATAAGCACCAGACCAGATATGGCAATAATATTCAAAGCAAGGACAAATGTTAAATTTATAAATATGTAAAATAGATTCTGGTAAGAAAAATTGTCTAACCTGACACTGAGAATCAATAGAGAAATCCAAAATTACCTCATAAGAATAGCTATTTCAACCAACACATTACTATGATGGCATTTTTCAACTCACATGCACTAAGTCGAAAAATACCAACATAGTAACGGGTTGGTTAAAATAGCTGTTTTTATGAGGTAATTTTGGATTTCTCTGTTATATGACTTATATGCTCTGTTATAATAAATACATTGAGCTCTTCTTGTGGATCAGTTTTAATATTTTATAATATCAGGATTCCCTTAGATTATATACCAACAGATTATTACCTCATGCACCAACGGTAGAATCCCCGACTGACACCAATTCAGTCGGGTTTCCATCCTAGCTAGAGGCAATCTAGTCACACTGATGAGCTGTGATACAGTGAAACAGTCTGCCTGTGGATGACAATATATATATATATATAGTCAGCAGATCATTATTCAAACATAAATTGTTAAATATAACAGACAATTGTTATCTCTGTTGTAATGTCCATATAATCACTCTGATGATGGCTCATGTCAGCCGAAAGCTTAGATTGAGGAACAGCATAATAAAAAAAATATCCAAATGTTGGACAGTTTTTATCTTTATTTTCTCTTGAAACTAAAGCCATTATACAAAGCTTAGAACGGCTCATGATCAAACATAATAGACATTCAGTTATATTTAACAATATATGTTTGAATATATATATATATATATATATATATATATATATATATATATATATATATATATATATATATTTTTATAAAAATGTAAAAAGACAATAGGAAAACTGTAGTAGTTGTCAACACGTTTCATCCAATGTGATGAAACACATTGGCAAATATTACAGTTTTCCTATTGTCTTTTACATTTATAAATTTTTCTTTTTTTCTACAGGTTAACTCTGAGAAATTTTTTTCATATATATATATATATATATATATATATATATATATATATATATATGCAAATTGGCCATTGGCTCCTATAAAACCCATCTACCCTTTGAGAGGTCTTGTTTTTTATCCTGCGAAGTGGCATGACTCTCTCCTCCCCAGAAGAAAAGTGAGTGTGGGTGCTGCTTTACATCCCAACCATCCGTCTATGCATCAGGTTGTACTGGGTTACATATTACCAGTAGCAGCCCTAAGTTTAACCTTGACCTAACCAGAACCAATGCATTAAATAAACAAGTGAATCCAAACCTTAATGATGATAATCATCA